GACGGCCAGAAAGGCCCGCGCATCTACATTTTCCCGCCTGACCCCATCAGTGCCGACCCAACTCCACCGCCACACGCACGCCTCGCGGCGGATACGCAGCAGCAAGAACGTTTCGGTCATCCCTTGAGGGTGAGTCTAGCCCTGCTCGCCAGAAAGACCCCCCCCTTCGCTACAACCCATGTCTAAGCAAAAGCTTGTCGAGGAGCGAGGGGAAGAAGGGAGAGATAGACACCCTGATATAAGGAAATAAAAACCGGTCGCCCCGGTGGTTTAGTGGGTAACCTTGCAGCCTGCTAAGGGCCAGGTCATGGGTTCGAGTCCCGACAGAGTGAGTTTTTTTTCACTAAATAAATCCTGGTCTAGTATGAAAGCGACGCGTTGCAAAGCTCGTTGTTAGTAAACCATAATCGACTTCGTAAGTCGCGAGGGAAGGGATTGCTGTACCCTTCTCGCGATAAAAATACCTCAGGCAACAACCGCAGGAGGGGGTCCAGCCCCCCCCTCCTATGTGCCCCCGGTTGGGTCGTCTAGCTAATAGAAGTGGAGGATAGGGGCCAGAGGGGCAGACGACAGAATCCGGCGATGGGAGAAAAAAAAGAAAAAGACAAGGACAGCAGTGCCATATTTTTTTCAAACTGTCGTTCTACATCTCTTTGGGAACGTGCTTCTTTTTGTACTACTGTACATGTACAAATCACAGTCAACTCTACAGTAGAGTTTTCTTTTTCATTCCGCGGTCGTCGCTGCTGGTCCGGATCCCCACCCCAGGTCTTCCTCGCCTTGACCCTGGTGTGGAACGCCGGCATGGTTTCCACGCAGGAGGCCTTGTCGGGATTCAACAACCCGGGCGTCCTCGCCGTGGGCTCCCTCTTCGTGGTAATCAAGGGTGTGGAACGTTCACGGCTTGCCGACAGAGCCGCCAAGCACGTCTTCGGGTTGAGGACCGGTTTTACCGCGGGCCTTCTCCGCCTCATGGGCCTCGCCTTCCTCCTGTCGGCGTTCCTGAACAACACACCGGTGGTGGCGATGTTGATACCCATCACTAAGGTCAGGAGGTGTGTTGGATTTGGACTGTTGTGCATACCGCAGACAACGGGATATGGGAGAGAAAAAGGGCAGCTACAGCAGTAGTCGGCCCGCTGTTCTTGTGCGCGGGTTCAGCGTCCATTGTCGAGGTGCTGTAGTACAACTGACACCCGTATGCATCACGACGACCATGCGGCTCTTGTTGCTAGGGCACGGCGTATGCGGCAGCAGCGATAGGCTTGGGGCCTAGCGCTGTGCCATGTTAGGCCTGGGACTGGAGGTTTGAAGCCTCGAGAACGAAGTCACCCAAGGATGTATAGGGGTTAGGAAGAAGGTCGCAGCGTGAGACGGGCTTGCCCGAGAACAGTATGCTATACAACAGCGTTGTTTTTTTGCGCTGTTTTGGCACTCTCCGTGTGCTTGTTCTGATCTGATCTCCCCCGCCGATGCGCGAAACCACAGGACTGGGCGGTCACGCGAGGCTTCAACCCAGCGCTGCTGCTGATGCCGCTTTCCTACGCGTGCATCTTTGGAGGCCTGGTGACCATCATCGGCACCTCCACTAACCTCGTGGTGCAGGGCTTG